TAAGTGAGCGATGAAACTTTGGGGTGCTCGGTTATACTACACATATTGCAGTATGTAAGTGGAAACACTAAATCTCTATGATAAAAGAGTGCTCGTAAATTTCATTTCTTTGGGCGGTTTCTATAAGAAATTTCTCAATGATAAAAGAACGTTAATCTTTGCCTCTCAAGAAAATCTTATACTGACCGTGGTCATTTGAACAATGAAATTTAGACAACAAATATTAATTGCTTTGATTTTTTCCAGCTCTTCTGTGCAAAATATCGGCCTTGAGAACATTTTCTCTGGACAAGTTACATTATTGGAGAGAGAGTGCATCCGGCATGAGCAGTTTGGCTTGTTTCCTTGCCAAGGATACCATTGACCATTTTAATACGGCTATCAAACCCGTGGTATATCTCTCGATGTTCTATTTCTTCACAAACCCGCGATCTTCCTTCGCAGATAATTATATTGTCTTGCTTTGCCTCGTTTATTGTGTGACGGGAATAGCATATGCACTTGCTATATTCTTCCAACCTAGTGCAGCCCAGCTGGTGAGTAATTCTATAGTGCTCGGTTGTGATAGTAGTCACGAAGATTTGTTATTTTCGTTTATTTTGACAAGCTGTCTGTTCTGCAGTGGTCGGTTCTTCTCCCAGTAGTTTTAACTCTCATTGCAACACGACAAAAAGGCAACGGAGCTTTGAAGGTTATAAACAATTTCAGTTATCCTAAGTGGGCATTGGAAGCATTCGTGATTGCAAATGCTGAAAGGTACGTTTCACTGGTTCTGATTTCGTGAAGCTGTATCTATAGATTTTGGATTGAAATATACCAGCACATAAATTATAGATCAAATGATTTCTTATTAGTTTAAACTTTTAGAATACCCTGTCAACCTATACTTTTGGGAGAGTTGGTCACGATAAACTGTTTCACGAGATCAGTTTTTCAGATTCTACAATACCAGGTTACTGATTTTCGTTTCACTTCAGGTACTCGGGAGTATGGTTGATTACACGTTGCGGATCACTTATGCAAAACGGCTATAGTCTTCAAAATTGGGGTCTTTGTATATTCGTCCTCCTTCTATTCGGCATAGTTGGCCGTGTGATAGCATATGTTGGTATGGTTACGTTCCAGAAGAAATGAGTTTTCTGGTAATCCACTCCCTGTACAGAATCAGCTATCTGCAAGCTGAGAGGATATACGAAAATGGTGGTTGAAATTGGCTGCTGACATAGCTGCTACATACATGTTGAATGAAATATGCGATCCATTAGTCCAATTCTTTGATTCATAATGCTCGACAGATTCTTTTTAATATCGAAGTTAGTGTGTTTTTTCTTTTCTCGGCAAGCTTTGAAATTGTATGTGAATATTTGATTCCCAGGTTCTTGCCCGATGGAGGAACGAAAAGATTCAATTTGTGCAATTGTAAGAATTAGAAATATACATGGAAATTTGATCATAAATATTGTGGGTTTACTGTTTTTGAATTTTTCTGAATGTTTTCTGGGAAAAGTGAAGTGCATCAAAGGTAATTAATCTTCATCTGCATAAACTGCTTCAGTTTTAAAAGAGTTTATATAACAATATTATATATAAATCAATACTAAAAATATCAAAATTTAACTACTACAAATAATTTAATGATTATTTCTATGTATATTTTAAATTACTTTAATTTAATTATTGTAATTTTTTAAAATATTAATTTTGGTTATTCATTATTTGTTTTTTTAAGCATCTGTAAATTATTTAAATAATACTTTTAATATATTATGTGTATATATGCATATATTATATGCACAAATAGCAGAAAAAAAGCAGAGCCTTCAATTAAATTCACTAGGCAACAAGAACCATTTGCAGCTCCAAACCCTTCATTGACAATAATGAGTTACAGATACTAGATCAACCAGAAGAATTAATGCACTATACGTGTGTGTGTGTACATATATATATACATATATATGTATAAGCCAGAAGAATCAATTAACAGACGAGGACGCCATGCATGCAGAGATACATCACTGGTGCTTGAATTTTTCCCACCCTCGAACCCAGCTATCCTGGAAAAAGAAGTTGGACAACATCTCGATCTCCTCCTCCTCTTCTCCACCTTCTTCATCATTATTCTCAGTCAGCTCTTGAATCAGCTCCTCCCAATTATCAAAATCATCATCATCATCACCTTCTTCGTCACCATTCTCGCATGGCTTACACGTACTACTCTCTGCTTCACGACGATCATGATTCTCAATAGAACCACCTTCAACGGCGACAACAACAGGAGAAGAAGAACCTGAGACCTTCAAGCATGATTTAACTGGCATGCATCCGGAACTGGGTAATGCTGATACTTCCTCAAATCCATTACTGGTGTTGGTTTTGAAGATCAAACGAGACTCGTTTCATATCCTTCGAGTTCTTGATTTGACTACTAGTAGTAAAACTGCTGTTGATTTGCTCATCGTCATGCATTAAACTAACTCTACTATACTTTTTATTAACGTTGTTAGTGTTATTGTCGCCGGAGACGTTAAAGATCAAGTCTTCGTTGACTTCTTGCATATTTCTCTTTTGCTCGGCGGCGGCTGGGGTGGCGGCTGCTCTGGGCGTGTTTGAGAGGTTTCTGTGGAGTTGCGGGGCTTGATTCTTGTGGTTCATTGTATTGAGAGTTCTGAGGTTGATTTGGGTTTGAATCTTCAGAGTTAAAGAACGAATTTTAAGGAATGGAAGATTGATACAACGTGTGTATATATGATTATATAGTTGATAAGACCGTTGGGGAGTTGGAAACGGTTATGGTTTAGTAATTACGGAATAGGAAACTAATGAAAATAAGAAAGGAATGAAAACTAAATAGGGGGTTTTCCTAATTCTACCCTCACCTTGTCCTACAAGGATCAAGACTTATTGTTTTTCTCACGTGCAAATAAGTAACCGTCCTGCAAAACCTTGTTACAATGTTTATACTCAGTAATGGTAAATTCATTATCATGCAACATAATATATATATACATATATATAATTGCAGCCAAAGCAAAGTCTTATATTCATTAACCAAGCAAAAGAAAATAGTGTTTGGAAAATTCTATGCAAAATTTTAACTTACAACATTTTTCCAGAAATTACTAATTACTATAAAGATTCAACTTAAATCTTACTAAAATTTAACTTAATTAATCATTGTAATTTCATTGAATTAATCATAAAAACTAAATTATATGTAGATAATAATTAAGTAAATCCAAATTTACTTTATGGTAAAAATTTCACCCCATGTTTACTTATAACAAAAACCAAAAAGGAAAGGTTAAAACAAAATCAAGGTGCTTTGATCCAGTAGAAAGCTTTTTCTATAGAATAAGAAAAACAGATATATATATAACTGGAATACCATTTTCATTCCCAGAACTTTCTGCTGATTTCCATGATCATGAATATACCCCCGTTATATAGATATATAAAGAAGCAGAAGAAGCCTACAACAGATGAAAAACAAGTGAAACTCATTAGACAGGACAGCTTCAACCTTCAAAACTGAATATTCACAAGGGCTTCAACCAAATCTCCATGCTCTTCACTGATAGATCAGATGGGTTTCTTTCTGGCATCTAGGACCCAAAGTTATTCTTCTTTCACAACACTTAGCTTCATGATGCTCAAACAAAGCCGGGTCGGTCATAACTCGAACCTACCAAGTCGGAAGAGGCACATATGATCTGGTAAGTTGTGGCCAGTATTATTTTCTGTGATTCTGAACGATAAACAATTGCCATAAAAGATACAAGTATTTTAACAGTCTTCATGAAGAAACTCCAAGATACCTTGATTACAAAGCACATAGTGGAGACTATTAATTAATAGAGTCCAACCAATTTTTCTAAAAGTTTAAACAAATAGGAATGGGAAGTCAGAATATTATTTATATATGTATATATTTACAAGTTCTCGTACTTTGTAGTAAAACTCTAGCTCTAATACTAGTTTAAATATTTGAATTGAACCAATTTTTTCTGAGTCTAAAACTTGGTATAAAACGATCCAATATAGTTTTATAAGTCAAGAAAACCGACAAGAGTGTCAGAAAAGGTTACCTGTCATCTTTTCATTTCACTTCCACACAATATCGCCCATAAATCTAAGAGCTGGAACACCTCTAATCTCCATATCGACCAAGGGTGCCTGGATTAGCGTCAAACTGGAAAGTTCTGAATCACTCTGAATCATATCAAGTGCGCGCATCTGGTCCTGAATATTTAGTATAATAAAGTTATTCTAAAATGCTATATTTGTTTATGTTTTGTTGTAAGACGTGTTCACAGAAAAATTATTCTCAATTATCCCGGATGGAAAAGCATCAATTAGTCTATGTTAGGCTCGTAACTCTATGGAAATCTTGTGATCTGTAAATGAAAGTGAACAAATTAATACCTTCCTCTTGACTGCACAAAACTTGCAGTCCGAGGCAGATGGTGGAAGAATCTGATTAACAATAAGCCTCTTGACAGGAACATTTTCCTTCTTCAACGAGGCATGCAACCTAGATGACTCACTGACTGCCATCACCTTTGAGAAATAGATGAAACGTGAGCACTTAAATTCCAAGCAGTAAATAAGATGACCTCCAATAAAACTAAGGCTTGGTAAATAAGCTTTAGTTTTATATCGTTGCTTATCTCTGT